AAATAAGTAGTATACCATTTAATCTACACATTCCAAATTCCATCCAAAATCTCAAACAGGTGGAGGTCCTGAGCTGCATTCGGCACCCGAACATGGTCCTCCTCCTGGGCGCCTGCCCCGAGTACGGGTGCCTAGTCTACGAGTACATGGCCAACGGCAGCCTCGAGGACCGTCTTTTCCGGCGCGGCAACACGCCGCCGCTCTCCTGGCAGGCTCGGTTCCGCATCTCAGCCGAGATCGGAACCGGCCTCCTCTTCCTCCACCAGACGAAACCCGAGCCCCTCGTCCACCGCGACCTCAAGCCAGCCAACATTCTCCTCGACCGCAACCTCGTCAGCAAGATCAGCGACGTCGGCCTCGCTCGCCTCGTCCCGCCCTCCGTGGCCAACACCGTCACCCAGTACCGCATGACCTCGACAGCTGGCACCTTCTGCTACATCGACCCTGAGTACCAGCAGACGGGCATGCTCGGCATCAAGTCCGACGTCTACTCCCTCGGAGTCATGCTGCTGCAGATCATCACCGCCAAGTCACCCATGGGCCTCACGCACCACGTCGAGAGGTCCATCGAGAAGGGGACTTTTGCACAGATGCTCGACCCTCAGGTGCACGACTGGCCGGTCGAGGAGGCGTTGGTCTTCGCCAAGCTGGCGCTCAAGTGCACGGAGCTGAGGCGCAAGGACAGGCCCGACCTTGGGACTGTGGTGCTGCCGGAGCTGAACAGGCTGCGGGTGCTTGCCGAGGAGTCTGTGCCTGACTACCCGGGAGCTCTGAGCCCGAGGAAGCCATCGGTCATCAACGGCAACTCTCGTTCGCACGTGAGTTGATAATTATTATAATATGTGACAGTACTTGGTTTTTTTTTAGGCAAAATTGCATTTTTAGTCCTGCTAGTTTAACCGTATAGCATTTTTCGTCCCAAGATTTCAACTTTTCGCCTTTTGGTGTAATTTTATATTTTGCTGCAATTTTAGTTATTTGAGGACTGAAATTGCAACAAAATTTAAAAGTACAGGGCTTAAATTGCTTATCAAAAATCCATCCCAAAATTTTTTTTTATTAGCAGTAATTTAAAATTTTGTTGCAATTTCAGTCCTCTGCGTTGAATTTTTAAATCACAGGACCAAATAGCAAAATGTTCAGGACAAAAAACGCTACTGGATCATACTAATAGGACTAAAATTGCAATATTGCTTTTTTTTTACCTTGTTTTCACTGTGTGATGGAATGTTAATGTAGTCGGCTTTTGTACAGGTCATTGAGTCCCAAAAGTTGTACTCTGATGTCGATGGTGCAAGGGGCCGTTCGATAGATGGAAGCGTGAGGGAGAGAAATCTGGAAGCGAAAACCTATTGATTTTTTTTTTTTTTTTTCTTTCTTTCTACGTTTGGTTTTGAAAGAATAAAGTCTGCTGAAAAAGTGTTCATGTGTTATTTGATTGAACGAGTGTAAGAACTGACATTGGTTCCAAGTAAGACATTGAGTTATTCTGCAACCTTCCAGCAGTATCTTAGTTTCTTCTGTAGAACAGTATATACTTATAATAATATAATGTCCTTGTACCATGATATCTTTGTGGTGGGAAATATGGTGCACGAGTATGCTCATG